CATAAAGTCCTTTAGTTTATACTTAGCTTTCATGGTTGTTACTCCCTGTTCAGTTCTGAATGATAACTTTGCTGGATTTGATAGCCTATGTTGGCCCTTTTATCCTTCCACAGCATGAAATATATCATTCCATGTCCTTACTTTCAGACTTTCTGTTGAGAAAAACTTCTGGTGTTGTGATTAGTTTGCCCTTATAATTGACTTGGTGATTCTCTCTCTGAGCTTTTAAAATTATTTGTTTGTTCTGGATTTTTGGAATTCTAGCTATAATAGCCATGGAGAAATTCTCTTCTGGTCCTCCTTTGGTGTATCTCCAGTACCCATATGTATATATACTTCTGAAGATTAGGAAATTTTCTATCATTTCATTGAATACATTTTCTATGTCATTAATCTGTGTCTCCTCTTCTTCCTCATATCAATTAGTCTTCTTTTTGTATTGTAATGTTCTCCTAGATTTCTTGTATAATTTGTTCATAATTTCTTATTTTTTCTTTATTACTGTGTGAGGGTTCTACTTCCTGAACTTTGTCTTTCAGCCCTGATATTCATTCTTTTGCCTAACCCGGTCTTTGGTGAGATACACCAAATTTTTTATGTAATTGAGTTTTTCTTTCCAAGATTTCTATTTTGTTCTTTTGTAGAATCTCTGTCATTTTATTAAAATGTATTCATATCCTGTATTTTCCCTTATATATTCTTTTATTTATTGGATATTATAGCATTCAACTTTTTAAATTATTTGTCCAATATTCCTTCCTCTTCAATTATATACAGGCTCAGTAATTGCAGGCTTATGTACTTTTGGAGGTGTAATATTACCTTATTTTCTGTATTTCTGTGTTGAGATTTAGGCATATCCTGGGATGTATACCCCACCATGTGAGAGACTTTTTAATAAGTTGCTTTATCTTTACTGTATACCACAAGCTTGGGGTTTATCTCTTCATTGAAATACTCACTCAACTTTTCTACAATACTATGATCAGTCTCTAGCCCTTCTTTCAAAGGAGGTAATAATCACCATTAACTGACCACTGGAGAGCAAATCATGTATTAGCAAACTGAAAAAAAAGTTCTCTAAAATTCCATTTGTCAAAAAAGTGAAAATGGGGAATAGTAGTGTATGGCAAGTTGAAAAATTGGATATTAAAGGAAGTAAAAATAATATTAAACCTTGAATATTAGAAGAAAAGTGAAAGAGGAAATAAATGAATAAACACATTTTTAAAAATAAGTGAAGTGGTGAAGGAAGAGACAGAGTAAGACAAAAGTGAGATTAAAAAAGATAAGGAGAAAGTGAATAAAGAATAAGATAAAAGAGAGCAAACACAATTAACACATTGAAATACCAAAACGTGCACAAATTTGGCTTGCTGTATGTAGTGTAAAAATGCAGGGAAACCTATCAAATTAACACAAAGGGCACTTTCAGTCAAATCCAAAACTTAACAATAAGTAGTCTAAAATTCTGGCTGATGTATTTGAGATGAGATTATTTCTTACTGGACTTACAGATTTTTTTTCTGCCAGATTTGGGGAAGCATAATAAATTCCCAAGCCTTTGCTTTGTGACCTCTGAGTGTTTCTGGGAATGGGGAAAGCAATCACAGGCATTGTCTCTGCACTGGTTTGTGGAGCTGTATATTTATTTCTCCCAATCCACCTCAATATTCTTCAAAACACTGTGCACAATACTAGATCTGGTTTCTCCCTACACAGACCTTGTCCCATTCACCTAATTTGTGGGTCTAGTTGGCTCTAGCATTGCTGTGATGTGTTTGGTCTCCTCAGAGCTCTTTGGAGCATCCATGAAAATGACACTGGATTATTTGTGACCCAAAAATGTGATCTCTGCCATTGAATGAGAAATGAATTTCTTTGCTTGGTGTGAAACACCAAGACCATGACAAATAATCTATGCCTCTCCCTGCTCTTTTTTTGATGATTAAAAAAATCAAAAAGAATAATGTGTAGTTATAAAATAATTGTTGAATTGAAAAATCATGGAGAATAATAAGTATTGGTAAGGATGAAAAAAAAAAAAAACCACAATATGTTACTGGTGAGAATGTAAAAAGTTATCATTGCTTTGGAAACAGCATGACAATTTCTCAAAGTTAAACATAGTATTATTGTGTGAACTGGTAACTGACTCCTGAGTATATACCCAAGATAAATAAAGACAAATGTCAAAACTTTACAAAAATGTATATTGAAGTAACATAAATAGTAGCCAAATTGCTGGAACGTAGCCAATGGCTATAAATTGATGAATAGATAAATAAACATGGAACATTTATACATTAGAATATTATTCATCTATAAGATTCATAAAATCCATCTATAAAATATTAATAATGTAACATAGATGAATAATGTAAATATTATACATACTAAGCAAAAGAAAATAAGTAGAAATCATCAAATATAATTTCATTTTTAAGAAATGCATATAATTAGTAGATAGATAGATAATTAATGAGAAATTATTGAGGAGGACTCTGCTGCTGGAATAAACAGTGATTGATAATAAGGTTTCTTTTTATCATGATTATAATGTAATCTATCTCCTCTCTCTCTCTCTCTCTCTCTCTCTCTCTCTCTCTCTCTCTCTCTCTCTCTCTGTCTCTCCCTACCCACTCCCCGCCAATAGTGGGGATTGGACCCAGGGGCACTCTATCAATGAACTACACCAACAACAATTTTATTTTTATTTTGAGACCAAATGTCACTAACTTGTCCAGACTGGCCTCAAAACTGTAAGCCTTCATTTTGGCCATCAAATACATTAAGATTGCAAGTGTATGCCTGGCAAGGGTCTTAAATTTATGCAAAAGAAATAACACCAGAAAAATCCTCTGTAAATATTTTGTCTTTTCACCAGGACTGGAGATACCACTTCACCTCTTTCTAAGAAGTCAATGTGCATTAAAAATATTTTATTATCTGTGTTGTATTTCTCTTCTCTAAATTTATTCACTTCATTAAGGTCATCTTAGAGAGCCCTTCAATGTTCATCATATCTAAACACACTTCTTTACATCATTCCTTTTCATTCGACTTTAACAATATTTTCATTATAGCATCTATCATAGTCCCTACTCTTGGTACATATTCATTTGTTGATGTGTTTTTATTTTCTGACCTAGGATGTAAACTCCATGAGAGAAAAGGCTTGTGCTTTTCAAACTCTATCCTGATCTCTTAGAACAGTGCTACCCACTGCTGAATGAGTAAGTGAATGAATGCCTTGCTGGTATTACTCAGGAAAGCCATGGCTAACTAAACAACTCTTGGGTATGTCAGTCCCAGACACAAATTCTGACTATTTTGGTGCTAATATCAATACTGCTATTATTTCTAGTTTGCAGTAAAAGGAGATGAGATGTGAAGATTCTTATTCCTTGTTTTGTTTGTATACACATTACTCATTATATAGAGGGAGTACATCTGAAAAATTTTGAAAATCAACCTTTCAGATCTGACTTCTCCCATTCTCAGCATATGTTTCCTATTTTTTGCTATAAAAATTACCAAAAATTCAGTAGTTTAAAACAACACACTTATTCTCTAATATTTCTGGAAGACAGATGCTTAAAATGTGCCACAGTAGGTTAGTATCAAATAATCAGCAGAGGTGCTTATTTCTAGAGGTTGTAGGGAAGAATTCATTTTTTCCCTCAATTTCTAGTAGCTGTTCACACTCCTTGGCTTATGTCTCCTTCTTATCTCTTGAAAACCAACAACTGGATGTTAAGTATTTCTTGAATTACTCTAGCACTACCTGATTATCCATTCCTCTTGCCCATTTAAGGATTATTATGATTACATTGGATTCACTTTCATAATCCAACATCATCTCCATATTTGAAGATCAAATATTGAGCCTCAGTTTGATCTAACCTTCAATTTTACTTTGCCATGTAACATTATATATCTTCACAATTGTGGATTAAAACGTGGATTTCTATATCACACAATTATTCTGCTTGCTGCACTGTGTCACCAGCCATCCTATTGTATGTGTTTAATTGTTAAGTGTCAAGCCAAATGTCCTTCTGGAAATAGACAGTTATACTTTTAAACATATTTTATTAAATGCAGTCATTGTTTAATAAATCTCTATTCACTTATTCAACATCTACTGAGTGGTACTTTGTGTCAGACAGCAAATATGACATGCTTCCTGCTCTTAAGAAACTGTTACTTAACTCCACAGTGGCTGAATTGTAAGGACAAGATAATCCTAAACCTTTTGTTTTCTGCTTCTCTTTCCCCAACCTATTGTGTATTGTTAATGATCTGTAAACAGACATGTAAATGTATTTAGAGAATCTCATAATTAAATGAGCCCTGCAGTGAAACTTCATGCAAGGCATATAATTATTTCATAATGCAATCCCCCACTGATGGATCAGTTATGTAACATCTTCTTCAAGTTCCCTACTTTTAAATGATGATCATATCCTATCCATCATCCCAGTCAAGTCAGGCAGAAATTGCTTAAGCCAATATTACCACCTACTTACTGGCATATGAAGTAACCAAAATTTATAGCAGCTCAATTCATAATAGCCATGACATAGAACCAATCTTGGTGTCCTTCAATGGATGAATGAGGAAAGAAAATGTGGAATATTATACAGTGGAATATTACTCAGTCATAAAGAAGAATAAAATAATGGCATTGGCTGGTAAATGGATGGAACTGGAGAATATAATGGTAAGTGAAAAACAAACAAACACAGAATGTTATCTCTGATATATGGATGCAAACTCACAACAAGGGAGGGTGGCAAGGGGAAAGAATAGAAGTCCATTGCATTAGACAAAGGAGAATGCAGGGAAGGAAGGGGCAGGAATAGGAAGTACAGTGGAATTAATCAAACATAACTTTCCTAGGCTTGTATTTTAATACATGATCAGGGTTACTCTGTGAACGTCTAGAGCGTTCGGGTCCCTGGGTAAGGGTCGCGAAATAACCAGGACACAGGGGATGCAGAGCCAAGGCAGCAATCGCAACTGCATGCTGAAGTTTATTTGCAAGTTCCTTTTATACACTTCTTCTAACAAAGCAAGCAATTCTTTAATATCACGTTGTCCACATTGTCCAAATATCATGCCTCAGCAGATTCACAGAGCTAGATTCAAATTGTTCCTGTTTGTTTGATAAGTACCCTCCTAAAGTTCTTTGTAGACATTATCTACTCCTCTGAGGATGCATTTGTTTCTTCAGAATGTACTGTTCCCAGGATAAGTATGCAGGAAGCTTCTTCTTCTTGGCCAAACCATGCAGAACTTGTGACTTGCGATAAGGGGAAGAGAACTTTTCCTCCTCCTAGCTGAGGTTTGCCTCAGCTAACCTAAATCACAGCCACAGCTCTTGCAAAATGTCAGGCCTGAGGGAGCTAAACTCTGCACACTTAAATCCCAACAATTCCTTCTTTTTTCTTTTGCTTTTCTAAAACAGCTTTCCACAAAGTTAATATAGCGTTTTGAGATGGTCTTATGCACATACAATATGTAATTATAAACAGGATAATAACTAAGCATAACACTATTCCCACTCCTCCAGCCATATGGGTAAGACTTTGAGCAATTCCTTTGGGATCTAATCCCTCTAACTGTTTTAAAAACAATTCAGCTATTTGTGCAGCATCATCATGTTGAAACCCTTTTCTAAAAATTTCAAATACATCCTTTTGTAAAGAATCAATCATTAATTGAGCTGTATCATTACCATCAAGATAATTTTGTATGATACTCCATTCGTGTAAGCTTTGATTATATTGTACATTAGTTATACAGAAAGAAGTTGAATTTCAGTCACATTTTAATCTAATTTCTTTTTCTAAAGTGAGTATCTTTTTTCCTAACCAATTAACTGTCTGTTTTAAAATATCTATTTGAGTTTGAAGTCTAGAATCAATTTGAGTCTGGGATAGCCATAACTCATGCGAATCTTTATGCCATTCCTCAACAAACTGTTTTGTTTGTAAAGAAGTATGTAAAGCTATCCCTGAAACTGTAGCAACTGTAGTCACTGCGATAAGACTTAGAATTACAGCAACAACAACTCCCACAAACCGTTTAGTACGTTTTAATAATTGTCTAAAAAATTCCAAAACCAAAGTATTTACAGGATCTTGGGACCATGTTCTTTGTAAGTTCACAGGAAGCCAAATGTGAGAGCGCTGTTGTAACAGCACAATGGAATAACCAGAAGGAATAGAAAGAGATGTATTAATACAGGTATACAATTTACAATTAAAGCATAAAATTCCCTCATCAAAAGTAACATTTCCAATTAAGAACAGGTATGGCATGGGCACACATGTGGTTATATTATATTCTTTAAATACAGTAAAATTATAAGAAGCAGCAGATTGACTAGTCCCAGAGAAAGAGCCATTAGACAAAATTACAGGTTTAATTGCAGCAGCAATTTTCCATAAATGTGTTTGTAAATGATGAGGGTACTGCACTGAAGCCAAGCGTGGATCAGCAATTCCGCCATCACCCCAGGCCATCAATTTGTCGTTCTGAATGGTTTCATTCCATCTCTCTTTCGGCGGGATTCTGTATGTAGAAGATAAATCACAAGCAGTAATATTCCATTCTGAACAATTTTTTAAGAACATCCCGTAAGGACCCCACATGATAATATTCTGAAATATCTTCCCAAATTTACCTAAACATTCCTGCCATATGAAAGGGGAGTATCTCAAGTCCTGATAAGTAAAATCGGGGCACTCAGGGAACATAGGATATTTTTGTTCAGTTATATTATCCCAGGTCATATTGACGGACCATGCAGACAACCGTTGTAAACGTGTTCGAGAACTTTTACTCCAATTTCCAACTAGTATCCAATGTTGCCAATCTAATTGCAAGCAAGGAGGAACACCCAAGCATATAGGTTTACTGTTATTATTCTCATAAGTAAAATTAAATGGTGTTCCATCATTAATATTTATATATGTTAAATTGTTCCAAGGGGGAGATAAAAGAGCAGGAGAAGTATATAAGGTAATATCCTTGTCACCCCAAGTAACAGGTTCCAGCAAAGGTGGATTGGGAATATAGGCCCAATAGTGAGTATTATTATTTTGTACCTCAGAAGCGGAAGACACTGTCAATAATGCACACATAGCCAGAAATAAATTTTCTGGGGTGCAATTCTTCCCTGTTTGTTACAGCACCTTCTGCCCTTCCCCACTCAGCTTTTTAATTTGACCCCACGTAGGTAAGGGAGAGAAATTAAGACGTCGACGACGTTGGGCCCCAAGATGAAGACGCGCCATTGCTGCCACCGAAACATCAAGCTCAGGATCTTGATTCCTCGGCTGGGGTAGTGGATAGGGTGCCCCCCTTGGTGCCGTTCTGATTGTGACGGGTCTGGATCCACCGCCCTGGGAGCCACTGCCGGTGTCCATTTTCTGTTGAAACATAAGCATAGCCCTTTCCTCTATAAAGTAAAATCCCTGGCTGCCATTCAGCATCTGCTGCAATTTTTATCCAAATTGGTTCATGAACTGTTTCTAAGGTTTTTTGCTCAAAATGTCGTTCTGCTCTTGTCAATATTTCTCCTTGTGGAAGATTAAGAAAATTTAAAATAAATAAGGCTTGATGTAACAATGCTTTAGGTTGATTTTGTAAATGTCTAAACAAGTGCATATTTAAATCTGTCATTTTCCTCCTTTTTAATTTTTTAATTTGTGTTTTAAGCGTAGCATGTACACGTTCTACTAAAGCTTGTCCTTGTGGATTATATTCTATTCCAGTTAGATGAACAATATCATATAATTTGCAAAAATCTTTAAAATTTTTACTAGTATAAGCTGGACCATTATCAGTTTTAATCATAGCAGGAATTCCCATAATAGCAAATGTTTCCACTAAATGTTGAATAACATGACGGGTGGTTTCTCCAATTTGAGCCATAGCCCACAAAAATTTAGAGTATGTGTCAATAGTAACATGAACACAAGAATAACGTCCAAACAAGGGAACATGTGTAACATCCATTTGCTATAATTCATTAGGTTGAATCCCTCTAGGATTTACTCTGGAAGGTACAATCCTAAGATGTAAAGGTCGACAAACTGGGCAATTTTTAATAATTTGTTTTGCTTGTTTATATGGAATCTTATATTTAATGTGTAAATGTCCGGCATTAGAATGAAACAGATTATGTTCTTCTTGAGGAGTTTTGAACATCACTAATTTGTCTACCTGAGCATTACCATATGTCAAAAATCCTGGTAATTTAGAGTGTGATCTAATATGATCTATAAATATGCGAGCATTACGACCTTGTAAAAGTTTTTGTAAAGTAAGAAAAAGATTTTGTAGAGTAGGTTTATTAGAATAAGCTACTGCAGTAAATATATTTTTAACTACTCCCATCATGTATATAGAGTCAGTAAGAATGTTAATGTCTTGATTATCAAAATCATTTAAAACTTGAATGACTGCAAATAATTCATTTTGTTGAACAGATTGATAGTTTGTTATTTGAACCCAATATTGATTCTCTGTCCAATAAGCACTTTTAGTTTTTGATCCATCAGTAAACACAGTAACAACATTGTTTAAAGGATATTCACTAATAATATTATTGATTACAAAATGTTGACGTTTTAACATGGCCCATCATTTGCCCTTGGGGAAATGATAGGAAATACCTCCGGTATATTCAGCCAACGCTATTTGTAGCATTTCAGTCATTTGTACCAAGTAAGTCCATTGGTCTTTAGGTAATGGGGTAATTATGTGAGAAATGTCATTGCCCGTCAAAGTTATACTTCTCTGTCTTCCTTGTTCAATTAATAATGCAATCTGGTCAGCATATGGCATAATATTTTTGGAGAATCTATGTTTTGTATGTAGAAAAGTGTTAGAGTCAAACATTTAACTCAACAAAAATAAGAAACATTTTTGATTCCTCTGTTAGATGTAGATTGTTTCTCCTTTTGCTAATGAATGTTTTTTAGCTGCAATATCACTGAGCTGAACAGATAAATCACCTTGAGTACATAAGGAAAAATAAACATGTTAAATGGATAAATTACATCTTTATTAGATTATTTTTACTTTTAATATTTCAGAAGCTTAGAGATTTAGAGTATTCTTACATTAACTGCAAGAAAAATTAAAGGAGAAATTTTTTTGAGATCATAACTATGAAGTCATGTGGTTATAAAATTCTGCATTTGTGTGCAAAATATGAATCACATTTACCTTTATTCTCTCTATTTAGTCTTGTCAATCACCTAGCAGGACTTAATAGATACCTTTTAAAGAAACAGAGATTGAGATGTGTTTATATAACTTCAATAACCTCATCACTATAGTAATGAGAGATGTAGTATCCTTTTGCTATGGTTCAAGACAACAGGGAAGGAGAGATCACAAGAAAGAGAAATCAAAATTATTACAACTGAGAAACTACTTCTCATTAAGTTTTACCATGGTGCCACCTTCATTTTTACATAAGCATGGTGGCATAATTCAAGCTCAATAAATCGGAAATCTTAATATTTAAAATTTACCTTGACTTTCATTTATCACCATATTAACAACCAAAAGAATTAGATAAAACACATAGGAAAGGGTAATATTAAACCCACCTTGCTGAGTTGATTTATTGATATATTAACTTATTTTTATATAGAAAAGGGATAGTGCATCTTCAGTTTGCTTACAAGCTAGGAGATCACTTAAAATTTTGCATTTCCTAACTGTAAACAGAATATAGCACTTACAACAGGTTATAAATAAACTGGTTTTTGAGCATAGAGTTAGCCCCAACGATAATACACTATTTAAAAAGACCTAAGGCAATGAATTCCATTTCCAATGGAAAAAAAAAAGAACTGTGCAAACAAGCTTAAAATTGCTTTTTTGTGCCAGTGTTATAAAATGTAGCTTTTAATAAAACTTTGACTTAAATGTCATTAACTTCAGAAAAAAAATTGGTGGAGAGAAGAATGTTATTTCATTTAGGAAAAATAACCATTATCTTTTTTCCTAATCTTCAACACACACAATTTAAACATATATAGTTGCTTTAACATTTTACATAATTTCTATGTATTGGAGCAATACAAGGTCTAATTTTGTCCCAAGCTTCTAAAGCTATTTCCTTCAATTGCTCATGAATCTCAGGAGGAATATTAATTTGATGTTGAATGTCATCATACATACCAGTGCCAGATAACATAGGGTATCCTATGGCACGAATAACAGGGTTTTGACTGTTACCATTTTCTCTAGCCTTAGTGGCACATCCTTCTAAAAACCATATGTGCCATTGAAGATATTCAGGTTCCTGTAGAAGAGCACGGCCCACAATCTTCCAATCCTCAGGAGCAAAATTATTGTAATGAGTAGAAAAAGCATTAAGCAATGCTTTTACATAATGAGATTGAGGTCCATACATTGTCACTGCCTTTTTAAATCTGCTAATACGATCAATTTCAATCCCCTCATACCGAGGTGGATGTGCCATTCCATTAACTGGATCAGGCCTGATTATAGGAAAAGCAAAGAAAGGAGTTTTGTCCTCATCGTCAGAAGGTTCTGAGTCCATTTCCTGGACAGCCTTTAAAGAAGCTGCCAAGAAAGGGTTGGTGGCCGGAGGGGCAGAGGGCCTGGTTTCCGATAAAGGCTTAGGGTCTATTTTAGCTTTTAATTTATTAAGACGTCCCAGAACCTCCTCCATAACAAGTTTGAATTGCTCCGAAACGGAGCGATCATCAATCATCGTTTTTACTTTCGTTTTCTTTTCTGTAGCAGTACCAATTAAATCAGCAGAATTTTGTGAAGAATTATGAGTCAATTGTTGCGTATCTTTTACTACCTCTTCTTTTTCACTAACATCCAGAGGGAGATCTAAAATAGAGGGAGCTAACTCCTTTTGTAAGTTGCCAATTAATCTTTCTTCCTCCATAGCTTTAAACATTGTATATAAAATAGACCAGATAGACCAAAACCGAATTGGAATTTTTTCACCTTGCCTCATAGCCTTTTCAAAATTGTGACGGACCCGTTTCCAATTATCTACATCCATAGATCCTTCCTCCGGGAACCAGGGATTCCATTCTCTGACCACCTTAAGATACATCTCTATATCAGAATGGGAAATGTTAATACCATAGACAGCAAGTGAATGCCTAAGAATACGTAAAAAAGGAGAAGATGAAGATTGTCCCATCACCCTGTAATATAAAGAAAAATAACTTACCCTTCCTGACAATCCAGCAGGGTCCCTATTCCGGCGCCAATTGTGAACCTCTAGAGCGTTCGGGTCCCTGGGTAAGGGTCACGAAATAACCGGGACACAGGGGATGCAGAGCCAAGGCAGCAATCGCAACTGCATGCTGAAATTTATTTGCAAGTTCCTTTTACACACTTCTTCTAACAAAGCAAGCAATTCTTCAATAACACTTTACCCACATTGTCCAAATATCATGCCTCAGCGGATACACAGAGCTAGATTCAAATTGTTCCTGTTTGTTTGATAAGTACCCTCCTAAAGTTCTTTGTAGACATTATCTACTCCTCTGAGGATACATTTTTTTTTTGTTTCTTCAGAATGTACTGTTCCCAGGATAAGTATGCAGGAAGCTTCTTCCTCTTGGCCAAACCATGCAGAACTTGTGACTTGCGATAAGGGGAAGAGAACTTTTCCTCCTCCTAGCTGAGGTTTGCCTCAGCTGACCTAAATCACAGCCACAGCTCTTGCAAAATGTCAGGCCTGAGGGAGCTAAACTCTGCACACTTAAACCCCAACATTACTCCACATCATGTACAACAAGAAGAAAACGATCTTAGTTAGAATAATTTATATTCCATGTATGTATAATATGCCAACATACATTCTACTGCCACGTATATCTAAAAAGAACAAATAAAATTTAAAAATTTAACAAAGAAAAAATGAAGTAAAATAGGAAATATTGGGGTACATTGCAAACTTTGCCTAAATAAATATACACATAGGCAAAAATGTATGTGTACACTGTGTTGTATTTTAAGATGTGATTCTATTTTATCAGGAATGAGGAAAAAAGTTTGAAAGCCACTGGAGAATGGTAATTCTTATTCTCTATAAGAGCAGGAAACAAACTCAAATAATAAATTCCTTTTTGGGGGGGTTAGGGAAAAATAGAGCTACTTTGGATTAAGCAGAGTAGAATGAAGAGAGGGGAGGTGGTATGGGGATAGGAAGGATACAATGAATTTCTATATGTACATATAGGATTACATAACCAATGTGATTCTACAACATGTACTACCAGAAGAGTGAGAAGTCATACTCCATGTATGTATGATGTATCAAAATGCATTCTACTGTCATGTATAACTAATTAGAAAAAAATAAAAAACAAAGTCACCAGGCATTTCTAATAACCACAAAAATATATTCAACAAAAGGTTTTAGTCAATAGAGCCCCTTCAATCATTATTTTCAATTCAAGTTACTATTATAACATTCCACTCCATTTTATTTCTGTGGTGGATACTGCCTGTGTAATTAACAATCATTACTGCAGTAGCATCTGCATGTAGACACTGAGCTTGTAAAATATTTTTAAAAAGTTTTATTAAAAAATTCAGACTGAATTCTCCAAGATTTAGTAAAAGATGTTACTCAATGTTTTTCAATTGTATTGTATTTTGTGATTTTTGTTCATTCTTTTTGAAGTATTAGTTGGGATACAAAACTGATACCATATGCTATTTTATCCATTTCAAGTCTATAGCACTTCATGGCTATGGCTCAATATATTATGAAATGTTAACATCACTACACATTTCTAATCATTTAATGTGGTCTGCATTTGCAGGATATGTAGCCTGTCTAGATAAAAATCTCAAATCCATTGAAGTATGGGCTTCCAAAAAAATGGATTTTTCAATTATGGAATTGTTTTTGAGTCTCCTCTTTCTTAGAATTTAAAACTGAATGTATGATATATAGATTTGCCACTGCTGTCCATTACTAATTTTTAAAAATCTTTGTTCTCTGTAGTTATACATGACAGTATTGTATAATTGACCTTTTTTATACAAACATGAAGTACATCATATTCGAATTAGGATCCCAGTCTTGTGGCTGTAAATGTTGTAGAGATTCAGTGTTGAGTATTCATATATGAACATAAAAATTATACTGAATTCATTCTACTGTCTTTCCTATTCCTGTCTTACCTCCCTGCGCTTTATTCCCCTTTGAATAATCTGAAGACCTTCTATTCTTCCCTGCCTCTCCCCACCTTGTTGTATGTTAGCATCCACATATCCAAAAAAACATTTGACCTTTTGTTTTTTGAACTGCCTTAATTTGCTTAGCATATCTCCAGCTTCATTCATTTTCTGGCAAAAGTCATAAAGTCATTCTTTTTTTAAGGCTGAGTAATATTCCATTGTGTGTATATGAACATTTTCTTTACCCATTCATCTGTCGAAGGACAGAACTTCTACCCTATGAATTTATAGTGTTTCTGGAGATTTCTAGTACTTCACATTTTAGGAGGAACCAAATAATAACAAAAATGAGCGCAACCAATATTCACCATTAAAATAAACGCTTAGTTCCTATTTTGGCATCTTCAATGTTAATTTTTACTATATACAGAAATGGTTTGTTAGGAAATTGCCAACAGTAGAGGTATTATGGTGCAAAAGGATTTGTTATTTCAAAAATGTGAAGAGGGGAAATTCAGAGATGTAGGAAGTAACAATTGAGAGGGAGAATGAGAGAGCAGTAGGAGATAAAGTTGTAGTAAAAAGTTAAAGGAAGAATGAAAGAGAACAATAGAATTTGGTTGTTCATGAAGGAAACGACAGAGAATCAAAGGAAATAATAGAAATATAATAAGATAGCAATAACAACAAAAATATAATGAAAAACTAAGCTATACTAATCAAAAGCCCTAGTCCTAAAAAATATTTGAGAAAATAACTGGCTTCAAAGAATGCTAAACATAATAAGAGTGAGGCAAACATGTGTATGTACAAATATCATGGACCTTTTAGCACACAAAAGTTAAAAAAAAAAGGTTCTTGATGGAAGATTAAGGAACTGTTTTCATTGCAATGGCCAAAAAATTGTCTATAATGTTATATGTTGGTTTTCAGTTCCCAATTATCTTTCACTGCATTGCTTCTTTTTCTTGAGATATGTAATGTGAGCCAGAGTAGTTGTCAGGGGCTGTCAGTTTCTTCTTTTTGTGGACCTAATCAGGTTGCACATTCTCAGCTTCCCTTCTCATTAGTATAAAGAGAGGCAGTTTGTAGGGTATTGCCCACTCCACTCAGAGAGGAGTCACCATAAAATCCTGTCAAACATGTTCACAGAGGTGGAGCTCCTAGAGGTAGGGTTTGGATCTAGCTAGATCCTTGGTGCTTTACGTGGAATGATCTGCTGGCACTCTTAAATTAGCATACCTCCATGTCCAGCTGCTTCTAGTTCATTCTGGGCATCTATATTACCAGAGTCTCCCCTGGGTTCTGCTCAAGTGGTTGAGGAACCAGTCTTAGCCCCACTCCATCTCCCATGTTTCCTGTATCTCTTCCACCTGTGCTCAGTCCCAAAGTGCACATTCACTCCTCCCTCACCTGATTAAGTTCCTGGTCATCCCCTGCTGTTCATAAAGAGTGTGACAAAATGTGAGAGACAGCCAGGATCTCTGTGGTGTGAGTGTCTTGAATTACCCTAGGTGCAGCATTTTCCACACCTGAATTTCACCTGGTTTTCTAATCACACTATGGGTTGCATGGCAGGCCTCTCTGCCTGGTTAGTTTTTCAGACTCAGCTGGAATTACACAGGTCTGGACACCTGGGTTTGGACTCACACACACCAACTACCATAACACAGTGGGAAAATGATGGTAGCTGTCCTTGCTCTCTGCAGGTCACTGTGAAACATTCAGTAACACTCTCACGTGAAAACAAAACATAGCTCACCCACTGGTTCAGATCAATGTCTGTGATCACTTGTTTTCTGTGCTTCAAGACACACCTCAGTGTCTCCTTAAATGTGGACTCTGTCTCTCTCAGGCCTGTCCAAGGTCAATCTGAATAAGAAGTCATACATGCCAGCACTGAGTTGTGTTTTTTTTTCCCTTCTTTTTTGAAATTTTATTTTATAAAACCTCTGAGTCCCTAGGCTGTTCTAAAAGCTCAGTTGTTGTTGTTGTTGTTTACTGACCTCAAAGAGAAGCCATTAATACACTTTCCTGGTCCTGTTTGGAAAGTAACCTTCTCTACTCTGCCACATTGACTCCCTCCTAATACTCTTTTTCGTGGACTTTTTTTTTTTTACTACAAAACCTCATGGCTTTTTTCCAATAACAATTCAATTGTACATATAGTGGCTGGCCATTCTCTTAATAACTTGGAAGAGAGTTTCCACTACTCCAACAATTTTTTAACTTAGAAACTGACAATACTTTAAAAAAATGGGTATATATATATATATATATATATATATATATATACATGATGTACATAAGAGAGCTGTTTTTCATCTTCCACCTCCAGCTCCTATCCTGAAGCTTTATGATAATGAGATGTTTGAATTCTAAGGTCATCTTTTCAAGGAACATTTCACTAAGTAAATAATCTGTAGTGTGTTCTTTCACTGTGCACAGTTGGTTTCTGCCGACATGATTTAAGGATGTTATTATGAATATCATAGGTAGCTAATGTAAATGATGATGTAACCATATGTCAATCATGTCATAATAAGTGTGGCAAATATTTCTCAATGCTATAAACAGCAGAAATTGGAATTTGGGTTTTACTATCATAGATCTCTGAAAGCACAATTCCTGAAGGGATGTTCCCAAGAGGCTTTGTCAGCATTTTCTTGGGAACACATGGCATCTTGCCAAAATCACAGAACTTTCCATAAAAATTCTGTTAAAAGTCTATCATTCAATATTTATCATATAAGGATTTATATATTAACTTTTAAAATTCAGTTGCAGAAAAATTTCCCTCTCCTAGTGAGTTGATGTATTTTCTTTTACCAGGCTAACCCTTTTATTTATCTTTAACTGTAGCTGCTATGACTCTCAGAACTAAAATTATAGCTCAAATACAGTTTGTTAACATAGTTATTTAGTATGTTTATATTCCCTTCTTTTAACTCTTTCTAAATTTCTCATGTTTAAAAAGTCATTAGCTTGTCA